TATAAAAAAGAAATAAAATTTTTTAAAATACCTAGTATTTAAAAGCATATTTGTTTTATTAACTAAAATTAATTCAATATTAACCGTAATTAGTTAAATTTTTTTACCATAAATATGGTTTTATTTAAAATGTATAGATCAATTCCTGTTTTAACATGAAATATATTTATACAGAGATTTTTGTCAGAAAGTTTTAGGCACAGCAATTTATCTTTCCCATTTTCGATGCTGTTAGTTAGCACTTTTACCCATTTTTATAGCTATTTTGACAGTTTTTAATGGAATGTTTCTGAAGTTGCTCTTGTGCCTCAGTTTGTTATACATTTTGCTTGCTTACGGTTGGTGTTACATATATAACACTTTAGATAATACTTCCTTACTTTAAAACGGTGGTGTTAGTTTTACCCACTTTTCACTCAATGACTATTCATTATCATAAGAATATTTAAAGCAAATAGACAACTTACAATTGTTGAATTCATAAAGAATAAAGTAGTTCTTCTCACTATAATAGATATACTAAATTATTTTTTTACGTGACATTAGTTTGGTTATATAATAAAATTGTGTTATTGAGGTTTTTAATATATAAAAAAAGGAAAATAGAAACATACGTCATAGTAAACATTTTTACTATTCATAATTTATTTTACAAGCTTGAGCTAAATAATTTATTTAACCACAATGCTATATATTATACATAAAATCCATACCGTTTACCAAAAACATTGAATTATGTGTATATTAATTACACTCAATTTTTAATTTTTTTTACAGTGTGTTCATTGTTTTAAAATTCAGAATGAATATGATGGCGTTGGCAACACTTACATTTCACGTGTGACATTTGCTGTCATTTTGTGCTGTATAATACGAAACACAATATCCAAAACATTTCTTCGATAAGTTTAATATGGTTAAAAATAAATTAAAAGTAAAGACTAGAACGAAAAATGTTAAAAAGTCTAAACAATGTGGTCCACCACCGCCGCCATTAGAATCAGAAGATGAGGAACAGTTTGAAGTAGCCGATGAACCTGAAAAAAATGAAACCGAGTCACTTACCACAAAGGAGCAACCAATCACCGAAAGTGATGATGAAATGAATTTAGAAAACAAAACAACAAAAGATAAAGCAAAAAGTCCTAAAAAGTCTAAACACTTTGGGCTGCCACCACCACCACCAGCAGAGTCAGAAGATGATGAAAACTTTGAGGAGACAGTCGAAGAACCGGTAAGTAATGATGAGCCAGAAGTAGATAACACTGACGTACTTTCTATGGAAGACCAACCAATGAATGGCAATGATGACAAGAATGACGATGATGATGATGATGATGATGATGAAATGGATTTAGGAAATTTAGAAAAACCTAAAAAGAAACGAAAGAAAGGCATTGTTTACATATCAAATATACCAAAATATATGAATGTAACGCGAATGCGTGAAATTCTTGGTGAATATGGAAAAATAGGACGTGTATATTTACAACCAGAAAAAACACCAGGTTAGTGTTAATGGAATAATTTATCACAGATAATAATATACTTTATATTTATAGGTTGGTATAAGAAGAATAAACGCAAACCATATCTTCGTCACTTTACTGAAGGCTGGGTCGAATTTGAATCAAAACGTGTGGCTAAACAAATTGTACCAATGCTCAATAATAAACAGATTTCAACACGAAAAAAGTCACAGTTTTATGATTATATATGGACTATGAAGTATTTACCACGGTTCAAATGGGTGCATTTAACGGAACGTATGAATTATGAACAGGCTGTACATAAGCAGCGTATGATGAACGAGGTGTCACAAGCGCGCAAAGAAACTAACTTCTTCCAAAATAATTTGGATAAAAGTGAATTTATAAAAAAGAAAAGCAAGAAAAATAAAAAAGTGAAAACAGAGGATAGTGACTAAAATGTAATGCAATGTGTTTTATTTTTTTTATTTTAAAAAATGTATTTCTTTTCGCTGCTGGTTTATAATATGGTAATGTCCTTTGCACGAGAAGTTTTGTATGAAGATTTATTATTATTTATATATATTTACATAGCTTTTTTTATAGAAAGCAGTCAAATTTTTTAAAGCAGTCAATTGATTAAGTTCTTAGTTTTCACAGATTTCTGCTGCAGATTTCTACTGCAAAATACTGTTTAAAACTAAGTGTGAAAGATTTATTTCATTCGAATTCCTACAGTATCTTACAATTGCTATAATCACGATAAGTGCTATCTATGCAAATGTTACAAACCTCGCTATTACATATTTTTTATTAACTTGAGAATTATGGTATAATAATTTTGTTTTTTAGGGCTAATTAGTCAATAGTTAAGTGAATAACTTTTAAAAAAAATTTATTTGTTCTTAAAAGATTTTATTTTAACCTTATATAATGACGTTTGTTAAATAATAAATTATATTTTTATCTATTATTAATTCTAAATTCTTTTTTAAAGGTTGTTTTCAAATGAAATATCGTTTTGTATTAACGATTAGTTATTAATTAATATAAGTATAAATTTTATAAATATGTATTTTATAACTTAACCATTTATTTTTTTAAAGTACTTTAAATTATTGTTTTTGTTATAGGAAAAAACTCTTCTGGAAATTATTTTTATAACAAAATTTTATTAAATTATTTTACAAAACATAGAATGAAATTATTATCTATTGCTGCTTTCATTAAGTATTTTCATACATTACATGAACTGAAATATGACAATTTAATTAATTAAAATAACATAGAAAGAATTTTTGTTGTTTACTTCTTTTCGAACAACTATATATAACATATTTTTAAGATTTTGTCGCTATGTCAGAAATTATTTTTTAGGAATAGCACCCTGCAGTTGTCACTGACAGTTAATTGCTGCGCTACAACTACAAAACTGCAAATTATACTGTCAAAAACACAAAAATACGTTACAAACCTTCAGTTAACGAACGTAAATGCAGTGGTTGGGACGTGTAAGAGTGCGGACGAGCACGGGAAATTTATTATTTAAATAATAAATAAATTTAATATACAAAAGCGCAAGTGCTTTAAACACGAAGAAATATACATAAATAAAATAATTAAAATGCGAAAACGAATTTGAAAAGCTATAACGTGACAAATTTTCTATTAAAAACTGTTAATAACGAAAGCTTTGAAATTGTTACCTACTTAATAATGAATTGTTTATATAATTTTATTAAACTATGCTGTACATTTTATATTATACACTAATAAAATACTAGTAATAAATTGAAAAATAATTAAATAAGCAAAAATTCTTGCAATTGTTTCATTTGTACCTGTTTTTGAGGTTGCAGAATGCTTGTGTAAATACCAGTTTTTAGTACAAACATTTTGCCGATCTTCATTTTTCGTATTTTGTTTTAACTTCTAGCTGTGCTTGTGATTCATAAATTGTGGGTTAAAACCAATAACAAATATAACAACAAAACAAAATAAAATTATTTAACGAAATACAAAGCAAAAAAGAATAGTAAAAATAAACTAACTATTTGCAACAATAAATGCGAAATAATGTATTTAAAAATGTATAAAAATATGTTATGGCAAAAATTTAAATAAAATAAAAAATATAAATATTTATACGTTAATTTTGTTCTCTTTTACACCTTAACGTGGTTTACGCTGCAGGAAAAGTGTTTGTAGATCCTGGCTTCAAGTTGTTTCACTCTAACGTGTGTTTTACTATTCGCGGCAGCTGCATAATATAAATAACCATAATTCTTGGGAGAACAGCAATTGCTGCATGCAACCACCTTAATGATAAATTCAAACAAAATAAAAATATGCAGCTAACAAATAAATGAAAAAAGGCACCAGTGTAGAAATTGTGTGCTTGTGTTTTGTATTTGCTGGTTTTTTTGGTTTGTTTTAAAGTAGAGGTTTATGCCGTGTGTAACGAATTTAAGTGATACTTTTTAGTAAATAAAATATTAGTGTTAGAAAATGAAGGTCACCGTTTGTTTTGGTGCTGTACGTATAGTCGTACCTTGCGGAAGCGGCGACTTACTAGTTAAGGATTTAATTAATGAAGCCACACGACGTTATAAGAAAGCAGCCGGAAAGGTAAGATTCTTCATATTATTTTTATATATAAATTCAAAATTTATTATAAAAAAAAAGTGTGTAACAAAGATTTGTTGTAAAAAATTAATCATATTAAATAATATGTATGTGTATTAAAATTATCGGTACTGTTTGATAATGGGTGCCAAAGCACTTACCCACGAATAAAGTTATTACTTTTTTATGCATCACAAAAGTTCTTCTTTATTCACTTTTATAGTTTAGTTCTCGTTCTGATCTTCACTTTCAAGCTTAAAGATATATTGACATCAAGTTAGAGATCATATAAATATTTTTGTATTTTCCAACCAAATTAATATACAGAGTACTAAATGATATTAATGTTCTCTAATTCTTATTTCTATGGTTCCTTATTTCTATTCTATATGTTGATATGGTCTAACTATCTATCTATTGGAAAGTAGTAGGATGCTCTATCTCTCTAGAAAATAATAGAATGCGCTATTCAAATCAGTTTGTAAATATATGGCGTTTATTTTTTGTTAGAAATCTATAATTATTCTAGTGCTTCTATGTAGTATTGACAAAAAATAACTCTTACAGATGTGTTTGTTTTCGTAATTAATTCAGTTTTAAATTATATTTACAATTACACAGTCCCCAACTCAATAGTAGAATAATATTCTGACTTGATTCATAACACCACCTAAATAAATTAGGTTGTTTATCTCTGTTAAAATCCCAACAAAATGTTAATTCAACATATGTACAATATGTACAATGTATATATGATGTAATGAAATCTGTAGACCTAGGGGCCGTTATATATGCAATATATAACTCTCGCGATCTTTTCAGACAAAATGTTAACTCCTTAGGTGATTTTTACTTTGAAGAATATGCACAGTTTGGTGCACTCGACTTATGATAATCAGATGGTTTGCTAGATGTCGTTTATTTAATATACCAATAATATCTCTACGGGTCTCTCAACTTATGTCAGTACTAATCTTTTTTGTCTTCGGGACTGTCATAAAAATAATAGTACTGGTTTTGTTAGTGTATCTACTGTAAATAAGTTCTCAATATCATAATCTTTATGGTATTTTCAAATTACATTCCCCCTAAATTATATCCTCCATAACATCGCTAGGCAGTTCGTCTATCCCAGCTTGTTGTGCTACCGAATAATTTTAATATGAATCAAAAATATTTAATTGGTTATAATATCAGTTTGCCATAGCTGCGGTGTATCTGTACAACATCATAAACACAGTCAACAGTCCTTAGTTTATACTACTAGTTAGATGATAAAGCTAATTTCATAAATTTTTTATCGGCATATACTTCTATTAATACTATATTTAATTTATATCTTAATAATCATCCAACGAAAAAGAATCTTCTACACTTCAAAAAGGAGAAGTGGTGTAGTGAAGTAATATATGGCAATTCTCCGTGGTTAAAGATAGAGATGGAAAATAAGTATTATCTATAAGAACACAAAATTGATATGATCCGGGACAGAATAGGAGACACTCAAACCAATTATGCAAAATACTATTAGTCTACAGTGATAAGCTTATTAGTGAAACTCTGTGTTTCATTATGTCCAAATTTTGCCAAAAGGCTAAATGAAACACCTCCAGATTTTTAACGAAACTGCGAAGAGAACAAAACAAATACGTTTATCTGTTTTATAACTGTCATCAGATTATCTATCCACCATTATCAACAACCCCATGGGCAAGTTGACAATATATATAACAGAAAAAAGGTAGTTCTCAAAAGAGTGCTTCTGATAACGACCAATAAATTATACAAGTGTGTTGATACTCGACAACAGTATAGTTTACCCCATTTATTACTATTTATACAACTTACAATAAATGCAGTGCTAGGAAATATTTACTATTTTTATAATTATTTATTATTTATTATTTTTATAAATTATAATATTTATTTGCGCCAATTATAATTCTCAACAATTATATTTACAAAAAATTGTTTATTTTATTGTGCGTTTAAATAAAAAAATAATTAGACATTAAGATGTCTCTTTTATTAAAATTCTTTATAAAAATTTAGCCAAATTTTCCTCTTGTATGTCGTTTTAAAGCAGATTAAATATTTCATATACACACACCACTTTTAAATTTATAATTAAATATATAATATGTATTATACTTCCTATTGATTTCAAATCTTTATATTTTTGTTATAATCAAATTAATCGATTTGGCTTCTGAATAACTTTTGATACAGCAAATCTTAATTGAAATCGTGTAGAAAGTATTTATTTCTTATCAAAGATCAACTAAACGATTTTATGACAAATCAAAAAACTAACCATACGTATTTTAATTCTGACTTTAATGATTCAAAATCTTAATTAAGTCAATAGAAAATAAAATTATCTCTGGAAATGATAAGAACTAAAAAATAAATTAAAATATTTATGGAGACATAAACGTCTTTCATAGGCGTTTGAAATTTAATGAACGCGTATAACAGACATACTCATACTGCATTAAAGTAAATAATTAAACACTAAAAGGGGACGACTTATTTGAATAATGATAATGATAAGCAAAGTTAATAAAGCATATGAAATAAGGCATTAAATACGTAAGTTAAAAAGTATTTTTCAAACTTTGAAAAAATGTAAAAAAATTAATATTAAGAAAACTTAGAAATGCTTTTCTTGACCCTATTTGACCTCTAGAAGCCGCACTGGTTCAACATGAAAATTCAATTCTTCAGTGTTTTTCCTTCAATAACGTAAAGGTAAGGTTACCCTTTTTCCACTTGCTGCAAAGGCATGTAAAGGTAAAGGTAGAGGCAATTAATCAAACCACTCGTAAAATATATTCCGGATAGGTAAATAATATAACCAGTAAATAATC